GAGGTGATATCTTATTGCAGTTTTGATTTGCATTTCCCTGAGGATGAGTGATGTTGAGCATCTTTTCATATGTTTGTTGGCCACCTGGATGTCTTCTTTGGAAAAATGTATATGTACATCCTCTGTCCATTTTTTAACTGCATTTTTTGGTGTTATTTATATATTTTGATATATAAATCAATATATTTTGAGATCTTTCTATATTTTGGATATTAATCCCTTATTGGATATATCATTTGCAAATATCTTCTCCCATTCAGTATGTTGCCTTTTTATTTTGTTGATGGCTTCCTTTTGCTCTGAAAAAGCTTTTTATTTTGGAATAGCCTCAATAGCTTAATTTTGCTTTTGTTTTCCTTGCCTGAGGAGACATATCTGGAAAAATGTTTCTATGGCCCATGTCAAAGGAATTACTGCCAATGTTTTCTTCTAGGAGTGTTATGGTTTCACATCTCACATTTAGATCTTTAATCCATTTTGAGTTTATTTTTGCGTATGGTGTAAGAAAGTGGTCCAGTTTCATTCTTTTGCATGTAGCTGTCCAGTTTCCCCAGTACAATTTGTCAAAGAGATTGTCTTTTTTCTACTGCATATTCTTGCCTCTTTTGTCATAGATTAAGTGACCATGTAAGTGTGGGTTTATTTCTTGGCTCTCTATTCTATTCCATTGATCTATGTGTCCTTTCTGTGTGTGCCACTACCATACTGTTTTGATTTTATAGCTTTGTAGTATAACTTGAAATCTGGGGACACCTCCAGCTTTGGGCTTTTTTTCTCAAAACTGTTTTGTCTCTTCGGGGTCTTTGTGGTCCCATACACATTTTAAGATTATTTGTTCTAGTTCTGTGAAACACAGTGTTGGTATTTTGATAGGGATTGCTTTAAATCTGTAAATTGCTTTGGGTAGTATGGTTATTTTATTTTATTTTTTAAAGATTTTATTTATTCATTTGACAGACAGAGATCACAAGTAGGCAGAGAGGCAGGCAGAGAGAGAGAGAGGAGGAAGCAGGCTCCCTTCTGAGCAGAAAGCCCAAAGCGGGGCTTGATCCCAAGACCCTGAGATCATGACCTGAGCCGAAGGCAGAGGCTCAACCCACTGAGCCACCCAGGTGCCCCAGTATGGTTATTTTAAACAATGTTGGTTCTTTCAGTTCATGAGCATGGATTTTTTTTTTCCATTTGTTTGTGTTATCTTCAATTTCTTTCATCAGTGTTTTATACCTTTTAGAATGCACGTCTTTCACCACCTTGGTTAAGTTTGTTCCTATGTGTTTTATTATAATATATCACTTTTATCTAATCTATGGGCCTTATACAAAGTTCATCAATTGCCCAATTAATATCCTTATTTTGGGGGCGCCTGGGTGGCTCAGTGGGTTAAAGCCTCTGCCTTCAGCTCAGGTCATGATCGCAGGGTCCCTGGATCAAGCCCCGCATCGGGCTCTCTGCTCAGCAGGGAGCCTGCTTCCTCATCTCTCTCTCTGCCTACTTGTGATCTCTCTCTCTCTCTCTCTCTGTCAAATAAATAAACAAAAATTTAAAAAAATTTAAAAAAAATCCTCATCTTGTACTAAGGTCACGTAGTGTCATCAGTTGTCATGTCTCTTTAGTCTCTTTTAGTTTGAACCATTCCTCTATCTTTATCTTCATACGCTTCACAATTATTGACCAATTACTTTGAAGAATGTCTTTCATTTTGTGTTTGTCTAAAGTTTCCTGGGTTTATGTATTTTTGGCACAAACTGCCGTGCCCTTGTCAGTGCATCATATTAAGAGACGCTCAGTGTTGCTGTGTCTCATTACTGGTGACATTAACGTTGATCACTTTGAGTGATTTCTCCACATTACTGTTTTTCCTCCTGTAATTAGTAAGTATGTTGGTTGAAATACTTTGAGACTATGTCAATATCCTGTTTCTCGTTATTCTTTTTCCTCTAATATTCACCTATTAATTTTAGCATCCACTGATGATTCTTACTACAGAGCTGCTGGCCAAATGGTGCTATTCTATTTCTATCACTCCTTTTACTTTTATTAATTAAAATACTACTGAAGGAGGAGGTTTCTCTTCTCACAATCCATATGGACTCCTGGATTCTCATTTTAGTCTACGGGTTATTTTGTATTATTGTCAACACTTTTTTTTCTCTCAAAATGTCTGCAGATGTGGACACTGGAAGGCCTTTCAAGTTGGATCTTGTGTTCTTTGACATGTCTCCATCATTTTTTAGTACTTTTTGGAAGGAATGTTAATGCTCAAGTAATCCACCTTTAAATCAGCTTGAAGTGCTCCTGGCAAGTAAATTCTGTTTGACAAAATCCGGCATTCGAGAACTTGCATATCCAGCACAGGATTTCCCTTCTCCAGACAATTCTGATGTCCACGTATGCTTCTCAGTTTTGACTTTGTTTTCTCAGTCTTCCCAGATGTTCATAGTATACAGCTGAAGGTTAGAGACTGAGCTAATCCTGACCAAAATTTTAACTGTATCCCTAGAGCTATCATTAAATAACTCACCCGGAACTGCAAATAGATTACCCAAATGTGACTTTGGTAGTCCATATTGCCAAAATGGCTGCTCATGCCTTCTCGTCTCTCTCCGCGCCAGTGCCCCCCAACCAACACAGAGGCCAAAGATTGAGCCTCCACCTTGGTTACTACTGTTAACTTTTATCCAGTCCTTTTTGAAGAGTAAAGTCTGTATCATCACCTGATGATGAGACGTCTTGTTTTTCAGTCTTGTTTGGTTAGTCCTCTTGCTCTCTTCTCTCAGAGCCTTACTGCAAATTCTATGACACGTGTGGTTTCAAGTGCTTGCTCAACAACCCGCTGCATCAGCAATACCTCAGAAGCTTGTTAAAAAAATACATATTTATGGACTCCACTCCTGAATTATTGGGCAAATCTTCTAAGGCCTCAGATCTTCATCCATAAAGATGAAGTGCTTACTTTACAGAATTGTCAGGAAAAGTAAGTGAAATTATGCATGGGAAGTGCTTAGCATTCTGTCTGACCCAATCTAAGTGGTAAACAACATCAGCCTCTATTATTATTATCAATATTACTATTGTAACTATTACTAGGCAAGTATAAAAAATGTATCCGGTGTTTTACTCTCTCCTGAATGAGTAAAAGGTAGATGTCTAGAGGGGTGGCATTGCCCATTACCATTATAGTTCACGTACAATAGGTGGCAGCAGAGGCTATGTACATTGGCTCTTGTGGTCAGGTAAGGGTTATCATGGAATGGAACTCATAAAAAATACGTTCTGTATGAAGATTTGTTCTCTTCTTGTTATCTCTATGCTTCCAACTCAATTATCTATGTAGAAAAGATCTTGTTAGGAAACAAAAGAGTTAACCTTCTACTCTAAGATCTACCATTTTTTTTTTAGCGTCTCTGGGATTCCATCTTTTTATCTGTCAAATGAGGATTTGATATTAGATGATCTCGAAAATTGCTTGCATATCTAAGACTTTATGCTTCTATTCACTGGGATTCTACGATTTAGTCTCCACATTCTGTGTGCAGATGATACCAATTTATCATTTCATGTTTGGGCTTCTCTCCTTACAAGAGTTACATTCCTCTATGCCAAGAGGGCTATCATCACTAAGACTAAACACAGTGAAAAGAAAGTTGTTTCCACTTCCTGCTGTATTTGCAACTTCCCACAATGGATGGCCAAATACTTGTTCTGTTTTCATTTGCCATTTCACTCATTATACAGCTGCTCCACTGCCGAATATTCTTCTTTCAGCACTGGCATGCTTTCGGAAAGATCCAATTTTTTTATATATATATATAGATAGATAGATAGATATAACCACCCAAATTACAGCTAAAGGTTAGGACTTTGATATATCGTATCTGTAATGGAGCTTTGAAATAGCAAATTTCTCCTGGATTCTCACTTCCCTTCATGCTCCCCTCCAGTCCATCTGAAATAGGCTTAAACACGTGTTATTCTCATCATACCATCACTTTACCATCACTTGCACTGGGCTTCCCTCTGTAGCATTCACATTGACCTTGTAATGACAATGACATCAACAGTAACTAAGCTTCACAGAACGCTTACCAGACACTATTCTAAATGCCTTACCTATATAGCATCTCATTAAATTCTTACAACAGTCCTACAGGTGAGATATGAAAGCAATTTGTGGTTCGTGTTTGCTGATGTCTCTCATCTTTTCCTTCAAGTCCTTCTTTCCACACACATTCGAAGCTACTTTTCCGATTGTATCCCAAGTCTGTAACGTATTTTCCCATATACTTTGCCAGATTTAAACAAAACTCAATTCCCACGGTTCCACCATTAGCATATTTCACTTCTATGTCCTGTCTCACCTGAGATGGGATAATTTCTCTTGTCTTGGCTTTTGTAAAACTTCATTTATTATTAGTTTAATAATATTAATTTCAGTCAATTATCTATGGAGAGATATCCTAGATTGGAAACAAGAGTTACCCTTCTAATCTGAGATCTGAAATATTCTCTATGATCATATCTGTCCTATGCTGTACATTAAAAAAAATGTTTCTCAGAGTCCACATGCACTCATTCTAGAAACCTTAGACAAGACAGAAAGTAAGGAAGAGGGTAAAATATAAACTCCACTACTTAAGGTAATCACAATAAATATTTTCGCACTCATTTCCCCCATATAATCGAGGTACCATATTTAAAATGCTTTCAGTCATATTAATCAGGTAGAAATAATTCTTTTTCATTGCCTTGCTTGCCAGTATAGCATAGTTCTAATAGCTCTTCTGCATATGAGCTTTTTGAATACTAACATTTCTACTGACTATAGTTTTCTGCCTAATCTTCTTATCATCTTTCTCTACCTTCGGTGAATACAGAAAAAATTAACAAGAATTACATTACTATTATCTTGAAGCTCTATAAATAGCTAAGGAAAGTATCATCAAGAGTATTGTTTTTAGAACGTTAACATGTTCATCATTTAAAGAAAGACAAGCACTTGCCTTCATCTCCGTCATCCCCAAATGGATAGAAGAGAGCAACAGCTAAATTGATGAACACAGCCAAGTTGAAGGAAATGCTCCCCCAGAGGGATATGTGCCTCGAGAACCAGAACAGTGCAGGGTTATCTAGTAAGCAAAGAGTACGGTGGGACAAAATAGAATAATTAATTTTGGTTTCAACACATGAATCCTACTGAAATAACATATTACCAAATGTGTTTTGGCAAGGTAGTATGAAAGTGTTATTTAAACAAACATTCAAAATGACTTATATAAGAAAATTTATAATCAACACCACAAGGGAATTTTCTATCTGATTACTTTTATATTGCTCATCCAACCTATACCTAAGCCATGGTAAAAGGGTGAGTAATTTTGTAATTGCTAAACATGGTCAGAAAAAGTGATTCTGTAATAACTCTCTCTAATACAACCCTGGAGCAGATTAGGAGAAAGACGTCAGTGGCTTCCTGGGTCCCCTCTTCATGGAATAGTATGTATCACTTTATAACTGAGTAATATTGATAAATTGGTCCCACCCCCATGCGTTACAGTCAAATAAAAAACCCAAGCCAGATACATATGTGTCTGGTGAAAATCCCTACGACCCGGTCACAGTTACCTGAAATTCTGAAACTTAACAGCATGGCCTAGAACTGCTTACTGGGAACTAGTGATTTATGATATGTAAGTCTTAAATCATAATGCTTCCTAAGCACTTGGGTTTAGAACAGCAGAAAAAACTGTGAAAGACACAATAGGAAGTACTAATAAGTAGGAGAGACTTTACCAAATATTTTCAGAAAAGAGACTCCATATCTATCTTCAGAAGTGAATTAATAAATTCATCAACTGAACAGAGTTGACCCTAACCCAATATCTGCTCTTTCTACCTATTCTAAATGAACAGTTAGGCAGTGGACACAAATTTGACTACATGACTTTCCCAGGTTTCATCCATTCTTAACTTTTAATATCTAAACATCAAATCTAAAATATTGAAGTTGCTTGAGGGAGAAAGGCACTACAACTTTCAAGTAGAAAGTATAAACTTTTAAAATTAGGTTCTATGAATTCCAATCTGGGATCTTCTGCTTAATTCTAAACTGTACTTCTCTTCAGTATGTTTTTCCCCTCTCTTAGAATGAAGCATTCCAATACTGGAATAGCCTGTGATCTGCAATGGCATTTAGTTGACTAATGTATGTTACATTGTAAACATCTGCATCTCCATCATTTTTGAATCAGGAGTCTTCTTTATAAAACACAGAATATTGGGGTGTCTGGTTCATTAAGGCAGTTAAGTGGCTGTCTTCAGCTTGGGTCGTGATCCTGGGGTTGTGGGATCAAGCCCCACATCAGGCCCCCTGCTCAGCAGGGAGCGCGCTGCTCCCTCTGCCTGCTGCTCTGTCTACTTGTGCTCTCTCTCTAGCTCTCTGTCAAAAAAATAAAATCTTAAAAAAAAAAAAAGCAGAAAAAAAGGCAGGAAAAATAAATTTTAAAAGAATATTAAGACAAAATTAGAAGATGTTGATGCATGTATTTGTAGTATACCCATCTAATGATTTAGTTTCTATCTGTAACCTCCTTGTAAGTTGCTTCCAAATTTTCAATGTAAGATGTACACTGGAAATTATTTTAAGATTTGTTTTCTAGTAAATGACAAGATATTTATCCAAAAAAGAACAGACCACACAAACACTAGTTTCTTATTCAACTTCCTTTTTTCAAGGATAAAATCTGAGCTTTTCAAATGTCCCAAATAAAACTTATACTTTATATAAGTATTCTGGACACTCAGAATTTTCTTTCAACTCCAAAATGTTCTTCATGACCAAATGCCAAGGGAGAGTAATTTCTTTATTTTTTCAAATATTCTGATAAGAAAGTCTAACAATACATGCCATAATCTTATATCCAAAGACAGTACATCTCAAGCTCTACTCAAATTCATAAACCATGCTCATTAAAGTTCCTAGGAAACTAGAAGCACTGTTGAATAAAGGTATTGAGAACATAGGCCTGCTTGCCTAAGAAACTTCCCCTAAGGATAAAAAAGACCTAATCAAGAGTGTCTTCCTACTATATTTTGTTAAAACTCTTTGTATCTGGGAAAATAAACCAAAACTTAGTGTAAACTTCAAAATTTTTAAGTTTGAAAACTCAGTATTTCCAAAGACTTGACCCTTGAGGTATAAGTAATGGGAACTATATCATACTAATTTTTAACTGTAAAATGATAACATTGCCTTATTGGAATATAAGTGTCACAGAATTTTTAGTCTGATTTGGCAAGGTAAAGATATGTTGAAAGAAAGGATGACTTTCAAGAAAACATTAAACGATCTACTCCATCGTAAGATCATAAGACAACAGAGGATGAGAGCGCTGGTGTTGATGTCTCTCTATCCTGTTCACTGATTGTTAAGGCCAGTCAGAACCTATTCAAGGACTGCAAAGCTCAGCTGTCCAGCAGCTGAAATAGACAGCTGCAACCTTGCATTTCATAATATTTATAAAACTATAGGATAAGCGCTAAAAGATGATCTAATTAGTCTTCTGTTTTTATTAAGCCACAGGTGTCTCAGCCCTCGCCCAGGTGTAGACTGAGCTTACGTGCTTAAGCCTATAAGTGACTTCAGTAACATCAGATGATAAGAAATTAAAAACCGGTTTGAATGAATGCTGTTATGTGTTCCAAAGTACCAATTTATCTACCATTATGCTCAAAACTAACCATTTTGGTTTACTGTACTTACTCCTGATTTTCTTCTGCCACTTCATTTCATTGTAGAGATCTTCTGTTTGCTGGAAAAAGTCATTCACTTTACTTCCTTGTTCATCCCTTTCAGTTGTATTGAACACACGGCACTTGGATTCTCGTGTAAGGTATTCACATATATTGGGGACAGGAAAAACTATTTGCTCCATCGTCCTATCATGCCGAACAATCTGAAAATATTAATTTGCATTTGTTTTAGTCTTTGGACACTTCAGTCTTGTACTATTTTTTATAGCATAAGCTTATGAATGTATCTTTTGAATTCACATTTGGAAAAATATGCCAGCTTGAAATACCTAAAGTAATCCCTTAATGTACTACTTTTTATTGTTGTCTTTAAGAAAAATTAATTGATGAATGTATCATGAATATCTTATAAATAACAAAACCCCAAATCCTTATTCTTTCTAGACTAATGTTTAAACTTTGGCCCACTTTTTATCTTCATGAATTACATCAGAAGACTAAGAACTAAGTGATTGGCTTCATAACCTTAAACACAGCTCCTGGTATATCTGTCTCTGATTCTTAGCTTGGTCTTCCTAAAAGAGCTGTTGCTGTTGGCGACCAAAGAACATACTCAACATGATGTGCCCTGACTTCTTCAGAGAAAGGTGCTTTTTATCATTAAAATGTTTTCCTACTCATCGTAAAACATATTTTTGTAGGTTTCATAACCATTCAAGTGTATCACCAGATGTAAATATTCATTATTTTGAACTTGTCTTATTTGGTATCTGTGACAGTATAATGTTAGACTAAAATAAAAAAAAACAGGATGAATATTTTCACAGAAATTTACTATATAACAAGGGTCTGTATAGACTAAATCTCAAGATTCTTATTCATATATTCTGCTCAACCCTCAAGAATGAATCAGGATTGGTGTAAACCAGAAGGGTCATCTTATTCCCCACCACCTTGGGCTGATACAGTGGCGCAAGTAAAAATAGCCTGGTGATATGGGGAAAGGGAATCAAGAAAAGGCAGAGAGCCACATCAGGCAAACAAAATAATAACAACAAAAAACTATATACACAACACAAAAACTCTTCTTTTGGCCTGTGTCTTCTTTCCTTCCACGTAGAAAAAAAGGTAGTATAAGGGCACAATGCCTAAAATGCTCACAGCCATTTTGCAACCACGAGGTGAGATATCACCAGTATAATAAGGAACACCTAAAGAAAGATGGGAAATACCTGCATATTTAAAGACATCATTGAGTCATTGACTCAACTGTAGAACTACTGGTATCTTTAGACTTTCTTTTATGTGGGATAATAAAATATTTTTATTATTCAAACAATTGACAATCTGGTATTCTGTTATCTGTAATTGAAGCTATCCTAAATAATATGTTAAATATGCAAACTACATACTAGCATATTATCATAAAACACACAAAATAAAATTTAGTCACGATAAATAAAATTCTTGAACATAGGTTAAAGAAATCAATCATACAAAAGAAAAATTGGATCTATTTGGTATTGTAGGAGGAAGAAAGTTTTGCTTGATCCAACAGTGTCAAACAAACAAACATACAAAAAAAACTCAGGATGCATTTAAGAAATAATGTTTCTATGCCACAATCAAGTGGGATATATTCCAGGGATGCAAGTATGTTTCAACATCCCCAAATCAGTCAATGTGATACAACATAGTAACAAAATGAAAGATAAAAATTTTATAATCATCTCAATAGATGCAGAAAAAGCATTTGAGAAAGTTCAACATCCATTTATGATAAAAAATTCCTAACAAAGGGGGTATAGAGGGAATTTATCTCAACGTAAAAGCTATACATGACAAGGTCACAGCTAACATCATACTCAACAGTTCAAAGCTGAAAGCTCTTCCTCTAAGATCAGTAACAAGACAATGATGTTACCACTTACCACTTTTATTCAACATAGTATTAAAGTCCTAGCCACAGCGATTAGGCAAGAAAAAGAAATAGAAGGCATCCAAATTGGAAAAAAGAAGTAAAATGGTCACTATACCTAGATGACATGATATTAAGTCTTTTTAATATCCCATCAAAAAACTATTAGAAATAATAAACAAGTCCAGTAAAGTGGCAGGCTACAAAAATCTATACCTAAAAATCTGTTGTAATTCTATATCCTAATGATGAACTATCAGAAGGAGAAATAAAGAAAACAATCCCATTTAGAATTGCATCAAAAAGAATACAATGCCTAAGAATAAGTTTAACCAAGGCAGAAAAAGATCTATATATTTAAAAACTATAAGACATTAATGAAAGAAATTGAAGAAACCACAAATAAATGGAAAAATATTTCATGCTCTTGGATTGGAAGAACTAATGTTTTTAAAGTATCCATACTACTGAAAGCAATATGCAGATTCAATGCAACGTTTATCAAAATTCCAAGGCATTTTTCAAAGAGGGCAAAGAGCCTTGAAAAAAAAAAAAAGGACAACCAGTTTTAAAATTTATAAATTTATATTGAACCATTAAAGACCCCAAATAGACAAAACAATTTTGAGAAAGAAAAACAAACTTAGTGGTATCACACTCCCTGATTTCAACCTATATTACAAAGCTATAGTAATTAAACAGTGTGGTATTGGCATAAAAACAGAAACACAGATCAATGGAACAGAATAGAGAGCCCAGAAATAAACCTATGCATATATGGCCAATTAACTGACCACAAAGGAACCAAGAATAAACAATGGGGAAAGGACAGCCTCTTCAATAAATGGTTTTGGAAAAATTGGACAGCTACAGGCCAAAGAGTGAAACTGGACTACTACCTTACAAAAAAAGAAAAATAAATAATCAAAATGATCAAGACTTAAACATAATACTTGAAACCATAAAAACTCCTAGGAGAGAATAGGCAGTAAGATCCCTGACATTGGTCTTGAAGATGATTATTTAGATCTGACACCAAAAACAAAGACAACAAAAGCAATAATTTTTTTAAAAATGGGACTATATAAAACTAAAAAGCTTTTGCACAACAAAGGAAACCATCAATAAAATGAAAAGGCAAGCTACTGAATGGGAAAAATATATGCAAATCAAATATCCAATAAGGGGCTAATATTCAAACTATATAAAGAATTCACATAACCCAAAAGGTTAATAACAGAACTACTCTACATTCTAGGAATTGCACTACTAGGTATTTATACAAAGGATGCAAAAATACAAATTCGAAGGGGCACAAGCCCCTCAATGTTTACGGCAGCACTATTAACAATAGTCAAACTATGGAAAGATCCCAAATGTCCATCAACTGATGAATGGATAAAGAAGATGTGGTAAATATATATAATAGAATATTACTCAGTCATCAAAAAGAATGAGATCTTGCCATTTGCAAGGAGATGGATGGAGCAAGAGAGTATTATTCTAAGCAAAATAAGTCAGTCAGAGAAAGACAAATATTGCATGATTTCACTCATATGTGGAATTTCAGAAACAAAACAGATGAACATAGGAGAAGAAAAAGAAAGAAGAAGCAAACCATAAGAGAGTCTTAACTATAGAGAACAAACTAAGGGTTGATGGAAAGAGGTGCATGGGGAATGGGTTAAATGGGTGATGGGCATTAAGGATGGCACTTGTGATGAACACTGGGTGTTAAATCAAAGTGGTGAATCACTAAATTCTACATCTGAAACCAATTTCACCATATATGTTCATTAATTAGTATTTAAATAAAAACTTGAAAAGAAAAAAAAAAGAACTTAATAGCAAAAACCCCAATCTGATTAAAAAATGGGTGGAAGATATGAATAGGCAGTTTTCCAAAAAAGACACAAAAATGTCCAACAAATACACCAAAAGATGCCCTACATCATTAATCATTAATAAAATTCAAATCACTATGGTGAGTGCTGTGAAGTGTATAAACCTGGCGATTCACAGACCTGTACCCCTGGGGATAAAAATATATTATATGTTTATAAAAAATAAAATTAAAAAAAAATTTCAAATCAAAACCACACTGAGATATCGTCTCACACATGTTAGAATGACTATTATTAAAGAGATTAGAAATATTAAATATTAATGAGGATATAGAGAAAAGGGAACACTTGTGCACCATTGGTGAGAATGTAAATTGGGGTGGCTACTGTGGAGAACAATACAGATATTCCTTAAAAATTAAAACAAGAACTACTAAATAATCCACAATTCTACTTTTGCATATTTGTCCAAAAAACCCCAAAACACTAATTTAAAAAGATATCAGCACCTTTGTGTTCACTGCAGTATTATTTATAATAGCCATGATATGGAAACGACCTAAATGCCTGTCAATGGATGAATGGGTAAAGAAATTGTGGTACACATTTGCAGAGGAATATTATTTGGCCATAAAGAAGAATGATATCTTGCCATTTGTGACAATACAGGGATGGACCTCAAGGGCATTATGTAAAGTGAAATAAGTCAGATAGAGAAAGACAAATACCACATGATCTCTCTTATATGTGGAATCTGAATATATACCTATACATATACATATACAAAGACACACAGACATAGACACACACGAACTCATAGATACAGAGAATAGATTGGTGGTTGCCAGAGTCAGTGGATGGGGTGTGGGAAAAAAGAATGCATTGCTTTTGCTTAAAAAAAAAAAAAAGAAAGAAAGAATAAAAATAAAAATAAATTTAAAAAAAGAAACAGAAGGGTGCCTGGGTGGCTTAGCTGGTTAAGCACCCGACTCATGATTTCAGCTTGGATCATAATCTCATGGATTGTAGGATCAATCCCCACATTGGGCTCCACACTCAGTGGGTAGTCTGCTTGAGAGTCTCTCCCTCTGCCTCACCCCCCATTCATGCATGTTTGCGTGTGCATGCTCTCTCTTTCAAATAAATAAATCTGAAAAAAAGAAATAGAATTTTCATTATTATAGATCCAACAATTCAGTCCTCTTATGAAATGTTACATTTTATTCTGGTCATCACATTCTACAAGGGGCACTGACAAACAGGAGGAATTATGGCAGACAGTGGGAGTGTATTAACTGTAAAAAGCCAAATGGATAATTGTTTCAATACATGTATTCAACAAAAGCTTATTCACTCCTTAGGTGAGGAACTCTGGGGAATTCAAAATGAAAACACAACATGAGTCCCAATCTCTAAGAGTCTTGAGTTCAGTAATCATCATGGTTCGTCAAATGTTATAGCCAAGCCATCATGCTAACAGAGGAGCAAATGTTCTGAAGAGTGGGGAGACATTAAAGTGGCTAGTGTGAGCTCTTTATAAAAAGTAACTTTCTAATTATTTAAGTTATTCAAAATTGGACCTGTTCCCTTCTGAAGTCGTGAGATCTCTGTCACAGGAACAATTTAAAGTAAAGATGATTACAGAGTAATTTCTCCTTGAATGGGTAAGTAAACCAGATAATCCACAAAGTCCTCATGTTTCTCAGCGTCTTTGAGTCTATAACTTTAGAAAAATTATGATTTCAACAATAACCATTATCATGGGATGCTCCAGGCACAGTGTTAGTAAGGGACAAGTGATACATAAGATACATTTTCCAAAATGATATATTAAACTAACAGCACAACCGAAGTGCTGTGGAAGGACAATGGGATAAACTTACTGAATACCTGATGGGTGAGAGGCCTGTCTGAGTAGGGCATATGAGCTGGTCTTCCAATGAGCATGAGGTCTGGTCAACGTGTAGAATTTAGATCATCAGCCCAGACTGTTCCTATAAACCCTGGACTTCTGTACCCAACTTCAGGAATGCCTCAGAGTCACCTCAAATTCATTTTATCCAAGAACCAATATATGATCTTCCTCTGTCTTTTAACTGCCCAAGCTAGGATCCCAATGGACAACACCAGTTCTGCTTATTTATTCGAACCAGAAACCCAGGGATATAATTTTCTGTACCATTTTGCTTAGGTTGTCACATTTTATAAGGGGCATTATAAATATCCCTCATACACACACACATATATATGTGTGTGTATGCATATTTTTCTCCAATCTAGTCATCTTTAATACCACTATCTTTCATATTGTTTATTAAAATATCTTTCATCTGTGGGTGCCTGGGTGGCTCAGTGGGTTAAAGCCTCTGCCTTTGGCTCAGGTCATGATCCCAGGTTCCTGGGATCGAGTCCCATGTTGGGCTCTCTGCTCAGCAGGGAGTCTGCTTCCCCCCGACCCCCGCCTGCCTCTCTGCCTACTTGTGATCTGTCTCTCTGTCAAATAAATAAATAAAATCTTAAAAAAAAATCTTTCATCTGATCTGCCTGCATCCAATTCCCCATTCTCTTTTCTAATCTGTTCTCCAAAAGCAACTAGAATAATCTTTTGAAAAGAGTCCCCCCCTTGTATGTTCTTTTGTTTGTTTGTTTGTTTTATTTAAATTCAATTAGCCAACATAGACTATATCATTAGTTTCTGATATAGTGTTCAATGACTCATCAGTTTGTATAACACTCAGTGCTCATAACATCACATGCCCTCCTTAATGCCCATCACCCAGTTACCCCATCATCCCCCACCTCCCCTTCTGCAACCCTCAGTTTGTTTCCCAGTATCAAGGGTCTCTCATGGTTTCACACCTTCCCTTATTTACTTCTATGTGAAATTCTGTGTCCAATCTTCAATAGAGGAATTTCTACTCAATATTTAATATATTCTTTATAGCAACTGTCTCTGTGAAACCCATCCTGAAATTCTCCAGGCACAGTTAATTGCTGTTTTATCTACTTTTCCTTGGCCTTTTGTTTATGCACTTACTACATGGAATTGTCTTCTGTATGTGTATGTAACTATAGAGAGTAAATGATCAGCAAACATTTACCAAATTCATGTAATTCCAGTGAAATTCCCCCTCGTTGCTGGGAAACCAGTAAAAGTCCAACTTTAGACGACAGTCCCAGCTCTGACACAGGTATTAACTGAATCCTTCCTCTGGCCCACTCAGCCCACCTGCTATTCCTATCCCTTCTAATTACATAGCTTTGGACCATGACTTCTGGGAGCTTCCTTAAAACCTTAGTGGTTTGGTGATAAATCCATATCAACTTCTCCAACTTCCTGAGGTGGCCAGCCTCTTCCAGCTCCAAGCACCTGATGCAATAAGCAATGTTTTTGCTGCAGTCCAGCTTATGGGTTCTAGGTCGAGTCTCCCACCAAAGCTGCAGTATCATTAATGTTTATAAACATGAGCAAAAGACCAATTTTGTGACATGTTCATTATTCCAAATGTTTGGCAATAGTAAACAGCAAGGTATAGTGATTATATATCCTGAGAGTTAATAGCAGTGATACCCATCCTGCATTCTGCTGTAAACTAGAAAATATCCATCAAAATGAGTAAATGTATGAATGTAAATTACGAGTGACAAGCGTCAACTACTCTGCTCACTTCTGCCTGATTAGCTCTGCCAACTAGTGTCAAAATGATACCAGAGCTTGTAAACGACAGCCAGATGGGTCTCACAACACATAATGATAAGTCCATGTTGACCTATCCATCTTGAACTGCCAACAGCTATTAAATAATATTTCATGGGGGTGGTGGGGAGGTCAGTTGTTGCATACTGAAAATGGGAGTTGCTAAAGCACTCCAGGTTTATGTTACTGCCATGAACACTTCATAGTGCCTCCCACACTTTTGAACCCTGTTTTACAAGAGATCTTTCTTGTAACGAGCCTTTTAAAGTTTTTACAGAGAATGCCTTTCTTGCATGATAGCTTCTATTATAATAATTTTTTCATCAAAACATCATTGCTCTGTAATGATTGCTTCCATGACCTACACAAAACACAAGTAACGTTAATTATAAAAGAAAATTTACACAGAGTTCTTCTGGCCAAAAAACAAAGATGACTTTGAAGGCAATACACCTCAATTTCTTACAGATCACTCCTTGCATCTTAACATATGATGTATACTTTTACGGTTTCTGTTTTTCAATTCTGCTTCACTGTTCTAGGAAACAATTATGAAAATGGTCTGAAAGAGAAAGGGAACATGTATTTTCACAGTTGATCCCTTTCGAGAAATAAGCGATGGTTACCTCAATCTGTGCAGTGTGGTTGGCGTAATATTTTAAAGCTTCATCCCCGTCATCTGGATCTGATCCTGGTTTGAGCATTTGCTGTAAGAGTTTGTTGTGACGAGCCAACTAGAGGGAAAGAGAAGGAAAAGGGTTTAGGTCTCTTTTTCTCCCTTTCCTGAGGTCAAACTTTGAAATTACTTTGTCTACTTATACCCATAGCATCACAGTGGTGGGGTTAATGCTGATTAATCATGCTTCAGGAAAGCATGTCCATTTGAAAGGAATGAATAATGAAATCATGGGGATCAGCTATTATTACTACATCAATCTGTATGTTCCTAGCATGAGAAGACCGTGTCTCACCCAGAGTAGGTGCCCAATTAATATTTGTTGATTAAGTTAATATCTTAGATAAATGTATGATTGCACCAGGAAGAAATAATGCCCACAGAGATATACAACCAATGCTCCCTATAATAAATTTAAGCCACATGCACATCAAACATCATCAAGAGTGTGATACTTCAGTAGGGTAGCAGTACCAATCTAAATGACAGCTTCCTAGCTACATAAATAAGTAGGTATTTACATTTCAGAAGAATTTCTCTTATGGCATCTAATCAAAACCCTACATTAGCAGTTTGTACTGAAGTCCTATGCTTCTGAATATTCATATGTCAAAATAGGTGCTTTATCTCAGTTTTATTGTAATTCGAAATGGGCATTTAAAGAGCGAAAATTTCACCACAAATGATCTTCAACTGCCATTAATAGAAGTAATTTTTCTCTCTCATTTGAATGTTTATGACAGTTGTTAGCTAGTTCTCTCACTTTGTAGATAACTAATACATACTGCCTTCACATGCCACTTTTCTGGCTGTCTTGAGCAATTCCTGAAACACTGCAATGTCTTTAACCTTTCAGATAGTCTATTCATGCCTCAAGTTCCCTGAGGGCTTCCAAAATCAAAGAATCTCCATGCAATTCTTTTATTCCTGGCCCCATTCCTATCTCTTACTCTGTGCCAGTGTCTATCTTAAACACTTAAGAACATGATCTCATTCGATCCTTCGAGGAAATCCTGAGGTAGGCACTGGCATTACCCTCATTTTACAGCTGAGGAAACTGAAGCACCAAGCATTTAAGGGACTTTTCCATGATAATGTACCTAGAAAATGAGAAATACATTACTGAACTCAAGCGGAATGGTTCCAGAGTCAGTATTCTTATCAACATTACAAAGCAATAAATAAATCTTTGTACTATTCTTGAGATGATAATTCAAATTGTGATTATAAAGAATGGAGATGAATGTTAAAGAATAATCCAGAACCTATAAAGCCTAATGAACATTATCCTTCTAAGTGATAACATGGTAAATTAAATATCCATTCCGTTGATGCTGTTCTAGAGCAAATCATTTTTGAAATTATTATTTTAGAATTGGCTTGCAGGGGTATTTCTAACTCACTCAAGAACACCATTTACATTTCATTCTCGACTAAATGTGAATTGTAGATTTTTATTACAAACTGTAGTCGTGAAATTTGTTGCGACTTGTAAATACTTCTAAAAATCTAAATGCGTTTCAAAAGATATGATTATTGTAATCTTTTGGGCACATTAGCATATGTTTTAAGAAGTCTGTTGAAGGTAAAATTGTCATGGTTTGTTTACAGTTTGCATCTGGGGCATGAGAAAAAGAGGAGTTAGGATTGACTGCAAAAGTATTAACCTGAACAAGCAAAGGTTTAGAAATGCCACTTTTACTAAGGAAAAATGCAGAAGGAGCATATTTTGGGAAAGAAAATCAAGACTTTGGTCTTGGACACGTGAAATTTGATGTATCATGCGAAAGGAGACGAGAGCAGGCTATTGGATGGATATGTTTTTCAGGAGTTCTGAGCAGAGGGCAGGACCGGAGCTATATATTTAGGGGTTGTCAGTATATGCCTGTTACTTAAATCATAAGACTTCACGGGATGACCTAAAAGTGAGCTGAGTCAGAGAAAAGAGATCCAAAGATTACCAGTAAAAGCTAGGACGAGGAGAGGCATCATCCTGAAGAAGATGGAGAAATTTGGGTGAGGGAGGTGAGAACAAAACCAGTGACACCTGGTGTCCTGGCAGCCAAAGGAAGACAGAACTTCAGGATGGAGGGAGCAATCATCTGTGTCAAGAGGCACAGGCAGTTGAATCAAATGAGGACCAGGAATTGGCCATTGGGCTGAGCAGCTCTCAAGTCACTGGTAACTTGACAGCAACAGTTTCAGGGAGCGGTGGATACCAAGGCCTATTGTAGTGAGTTTAAATAAGAATGCGAGAAGAAGTATAAACAATGAATATAGGCAACTCTTGAAAAGGGGGAGCTAAGAAATAGGGTGGAAACTAGAGAAATGGATAAGGTAAAAGGGAGGGTTTTTTAAAGATGGGAATTATAAAATGTTCGTTTAGTATAACCTATTTCACAGAAACATACCAGGACTTTTCTTTCCTGCAGTGTTAATGAGATGATTCTATATTTGTCTTGTTTTCTTGCAGATAAGTGGCACTCTAAAAGGCACTTTAAAAAAACAAGATGCTTCAGCCTCCTTTCACATGTTCAAACACTTAAAAAATATTTTTATTCATGATTCTATATGTCATCTCCACCTAGCTTGGAAAATTTGAAAGCTATAAGGAAAAATGAAATAGAAATAACTGTACCATTTTTCTACCTGGATATGTTTTACATTCTTTGTAACTGAGAGCCTTTCCTGACTCAGTAAGCTAGTTCGCTCTTCCTTGATCTATGTTCAGATAGTGCCCTGCACAAACCTAGATAGAAAAACTCCTCCTACTGTATCTTAGTAGATATTGGCTCTCTTGAGTGGCCTATGACATTTTTAAGGAAGAGGGTCTAGCCTTAACCTCTAGATTTTCAGAGCCAAAAACAGAACTTGTTTCACCAAATAAACACAATGAGTATTTGCCAAAGAAACAAGTCAGTGAATGACATTCATCATGTCTTTACGTGGGCAAAACTCTTAAATTGCAGTAAGTTATCTCTCTTTTTCCTCCTTGACAAAAGATAGACCAAAGAAACACAATTAGACATTAGATGATGGTACGGTTTTCAGAAATAAAATATTTTAATATTTTTCCTTCTTTCATAGTTATTTTGTATACTTACATCCTTTCTGCTATATCTTAAGCTATTTGGAAAAGGAACTGAGTACTCAGTAAACATGGACCTGAACCCGGTGAAGCAAGGGTAGCATCCCTATTATACAAATAAGGTCCAAAAGAAATAAAGAAGATCTCAAGGATTCTAAAACATGTGAAAATGATTGATATCAATATAGAGCTCTCGGGTCGAAATTTATAGTTTACTAGAAGCACAGTACAAATTCTCAGAGACTAGTTAACACCTGCCCAGTAGTTATTTAAAAAGATTTAGTGCCCTATATATGCAATCCTTTCATAAATGTTATCTAGAATGGCCAGGCTGCCAATCAAAAGGATCAGTTTTTTCTTAGTGATGGGCTCTTTACTTCAGCCAATTTTCTCTCCTAATCTCTTTTATATGACATAAATAAAGAAAGACAAGCGCAGAATCCAATGAAGCAATAGCATCATTTAATATTGTGTGTTTTGGGAACCAAATGTGAAAAACCTTGGTAAGTTTCTAGACAAGTACAGCACATCTGTGGAAATCCATCACAATGAGAACTCTAATTTAAATCTTACTTAAAAAGTTAAAAAGAGTTAATGAAGACACACAAGGACAGTCATCTTATGATATCCAACTTTAGCTCACAGAGACCCTCACAACAGCACTCGAAATTAGCTGGTGACACTACACAACATGGTCTGGAAAACCAGCCATCAATCAGTGTTGGTAATAATGAGAATCTGAACATGGGCATCATCGCTGAATACTAAAAAGGAATAATGTCATAGGTAGGGAATCTCTGGGTCCTAGAAATTCTTATAATCCATGACACTCTTTATTTGGCAAAATTGTAGCAATTGTTTTATACATAGTGTGGAGATAATGCCTACATCTGCCGTAACTACTTAGTAGTGACAAAAGAATTGAGCAATAAAAAACACTTAGTAGTTCATTGTTACAAAGAGAAAAACTAGCCTGAGATAATTTATCATCTTCCACAACATTAAAGTTTTTAAAAATGCAATGTAATATATGGGCAGATATACGCATATATATTAGTGAGGAAGGAATCAAAGCATTGGTGGATGGTTAGCCTTATAAAAGAATAAAGACATATTTCCTATAGGAAAAGACTTCCATGAACAGATAGGGATTCTTTCCTTATGTGTTAAGAAGAAAAAAGGAAACTCATGCACTTCATTACTAATGACATATTTGTAATTTAAATACATATGCAACTTTAAACAGGAATGAAAATTTGTGCATATACATAAAATACATATATGCTCATAAGAACAAGCCACATACACAAACACGTAAAACCTCCAGCAGAGTCTGTAAGTAACACTGTGCAGTTTTTAGATCCAAGATTAGGGAATAAGATGACAGATTTAGGTTTTTCATTTTTAGCAGCATCCCTTATTAAAACATTCACATTTATCTTCTTATCATTAGGATTCTGATGTTCATTTCAGTTTGGGTGCAAATAAGGATGGGGTAAAAAAAAATCAAGCAATTGTACTTGAATGATATTCAACAATAATTATTCTTTGGCACTTCTCGTATGTGATTTTTTTCATGTGAGTTCCACTTTTATTAATTGGTAAAACTGACACAGCAACTGCCTTTCCAAAAATCACAAAGTGAGCTGGAGCCTGAAGTCAGAATAATTGGCTCACACACTTACGTTAATAATTGTCCGATGCTTTTACACCAAACACTCTTCCTATTTGGAGAGGAGAGAAATCAGCAGAAGAGAGTATAAACTAAGGTTTTCCCTTTTCTAAAATGCTTAAAATACACAAACCCTATATTTTCAAAACATCTATTTTTCTCTCTTTTGTGATTCTGTTCTGTGCAAAACAAAACAAATTAAAAAAAAAAACTACTGTGGGATTACAGAGATAAATAAGGCTTATTCTCCTTCTTCAAGCAATCTACTTTCTGCTTGGTGGAATGAGAACAATTACTG